AAATGGACACTTTAGACTTTTTTTCAATTGTTCATAACTCAGAAACAAAATGATCAATTGAGCTCAGTTTGGGCTTGTCACTAAGGGAAAGAATCGTTCTTTGTATTGAAAAAAAAATTATTAAATTTTATCAACATTTCAACTCCTCATTAATATTTTTTAAAAAGTCAAAAGTGTCCGTTTTAACCCAACCTCCCCTATTTGGTGGTCTCTCTGCTGTTTCCCGTTTAATAATGGAAATAAACCCTGCCAGCTTCCATTTTCAGCGATTTTGCGAGAGGTGAGTAGTCAGGTGTGACAGTGTGACCGCTAATGTGCCGACCAAGTTACTTGGGTTAATAATCATCAAGTGTCGTAAGTTCAGACTAATATTGATCCTAAAAGCTCCATTTTTTCATATTTTTGCATTCATTTTATCCGAAAGTTCTTATTTCTAGAAATATATGGGTGTTCCGCCATTTGGGTTGGGTTTTCATGGCATTTCCAATCGACGGAACACTGGTTTTTTCGTTTGGCACGTGCCGGAGTGGTTCAGTCAAAAGTATATAAATAATTGATAAGTGGAAAGTATAATGACATTTATGTTTTTACTCCTTTTTAAATTGTTCTGACAAAATCATACGGAGAAAGTCGAGTGATGTGTTCATGTGATCGACATTACACATTTTTACGTTTATTCACTACACGGAGAGACATATTCAAAAAAAATTATGGAACATTTCATGTAATCCGCAAGTCAGAATCGTTTTCAGTGAATTTCTATAGGAATATAAGAGAATAAATCTGAAACGTTCAGTAAATTTTCGGGTCTGTCACCGAAAAAATACGAAAAAGTCACGTAATTTTTCTGGAAGTTGTAAAATCTAACAGAAACTTCAAGACTTATTATACCTCAGAACATGAAAATTCTTGGATGTTTAAGAATTTTTACGAAAAGTTCCGGAAAAATTACGGAACGTGTTGTTAAAATCTCCCCCTCACGGTGACTCATGGCTGTTTTATATTGTTTTATATTGTTTCAGAGAATAGTTCATTTTCAAACCACTGTCTGAACCTCCGAAGAGCCTTGAGTGTTCCATAATTAGCCTGTTCACCCTACGTGTTAAGTATAACATATCTGACATCAAGGGAAATATTCAAGGTGATGTCCAGACAAAATAGATGAAAATGTAAATTCCTCAATGATAATTATAGTGTACCAAATTGATGAAAGTAATAGACAATTAATTCGACATGATGACTGAAACTCGCCGGCCATCCCCGTACATTCGGATCAATAAGATTAAAACCCGTACGCGATATAACATCGGGGTCACCCTGTATTATTCCAGGGATAGGAAGGTGCATGACCTAGTTACGCTCATCCGAGTTATATGGGTCATAGACACCATTTTCGTCGGGTCACACGTTGCCACTAACGCAGCT